TGCTCCTTGGAGGCAAGGATTCCAAAGCTTCGTCTGTCATACTTTGGACATGTTGCAAGTCCTTGGATAGGGATGTCATGCTTTGGAGGGACAGCACAAGAGAGGAAGACCCTTGATGAAATGGATTGATTCAGTGACTGGGGTAATAGAGGTAGGTATGTCAGAAACAATAAGATTGCCACAGGATAGAGCAAAGTTTAGGGTGGTTGTACACAGGGTCAATATAAGTCAAAAGAGACACGACAGCACATAACAATAACAACAACAACAACAACATCATATTAAATGTATACTTTCAAGTATACTGAATATTTTTCCATTGCATATAAAGTTAATGACTTTGCCCTGTTTTGTTAATGAATGCTGTATGAATTTGTATGAGGATTTTATTGCATCAATAAGTCACTTTGGGTTAGCACGACAAACTTAATATGATCTATACATGCAATACATTTTGAGTAGTATTGACATTTTTTATGCTGTCTTTCTGTTCATGAACATGGTGTGTTTTCCTTTTATATAGGTCTCTTGATTTTTTTTGAAATAATGTTTTATAGTTTACTTTGTCTTTAACATCCATCATGGGTGCCATTAACTGCAACTCATAATGACTCTATGAACAAAATATTGATTTCTTGTCCTAGCTTATACAATCCTCATAGTCCTTCATTCTCAAGTCTATTGTTCCAATGACTGTCAGTCTCTCAGGCTGAAGAGCTTCCTCTCTTTCACTGACCCTCTATCTTTCCAAACATTTTCTAAGGATTGGACCTTCTTGACAATATGCACAAAGTGTCTGAGATAAAGTTTCACTATCCTTGCCTCTAATGAGTATTCTAGTTGTACTTCCTTCAAAACATATTCTTTTTGCAGTCCATGTTATATTCAATTCTCTTTTCCATCACCACAATTCAAAGGCAAAAAAATCTCCAGTATTATTGTCCATTTTTCAAATGCATAAAAAAATAACTGTAAAAACCATGGCTTCTAACAGGCACACTTTAGTCTTTTCTCTGGCATCAAATTTGCCCAGTCAAGAGGTGATTTGATTTCTTGACTGATTTTACTCTGATGTTGATTGTGGATACAACTAAAATGACATTCTTAACTCTGATCTTTCTCCATCTATCATGATGTTTCCTGTTAGTTAGTAGTGAGGATTTTTGTTTTCTTGATGCTGAGATGTAATCTGTAGGTTTTAGTCTCTGATATTTAATAAACGCTTCAAACTGTCTTTCCTTTCTACAAACAAGGTTGCATGATTTATAGAAAGTTTGTTTTCATCCAACATGAATGCCAGATTCCTATTCTTACAGTTCATTTCTCAAATTATTTGCTACTAGATGTTTTATTTATCTAGGAATGTTATTGTAAATAATATTCTTTTTCTGATTTCAATTTTGTTGAAGAATACCGTTTCACTTTGTATCAGGCTGCATTGTATCTATAGATCACTTTGAATGCTTTTGTAAATGCTTTTGTTTACTGGTTTCCATTTAGAGTTCTCTTTGTAAGTGTATTCAAATGATTTTTTAAATGTTGACTTTGTACTTTATTCTTTCATTGAAGACTACTATTAGTTTTAATAACTTTCATGTGAAATCTCTGGGATTTTCTCTGTATAGAATCATGTCATCTATGAATAGAGAAAGTTTTACATTTTCATTACCAATTGGGAAGCATTTTTTTTCCTTTTTTCCTTAATTGCTCTAGCTAAGATTACCAGTACAATATTGAATAACAGTATTGATAGAGCACATCATAGTCTTTTCATTCTCAAGGGAAGTGTTTAGTCTCTTTCTCCTATGAATAATGCTGGCTCTTGGTTTTGTTCATATGGCCTTAATTATGTTGAGGAATTTCCCTTTCTATTTCTGTATCACAGAGGTTTTTATCAGGAAAAGGTGCTAGATTTTATCAAATGCCTTTTCTTCATTAACTGATATGATTAAGCAAATATTTTTCTTTGTTTTATTAATGTAACAAATTACATGGACTGAATGGTACAACATTGAACCATTCTTGAATTTTAAATATAAATCAACTAGATCTTGGTCATATATAATTTTCATATGCTATTTAATTCTACTATGTTTCCATAGAGAAATTTTGTTTCTATATATTCTAATATGTTCATAAATGATATCAGAGTATATATATTTATAAAGTAGGGTCTTTGCCAGCATAATCATATATATATATCTTAATCCTATTCTCACATTCTTTCTTTTTACTATGAGCTGTTATAACTTGAGCCAGACTCATGTTAGTTCTTCTGTGAATGTTTAGCAGACTTCTACAATAAAGTTGTTTAGGCCAGGGTACTTTTTTCCCTAGTTGGGAATTTTTTAATGACCTCTACGATTTCTTCTTTTCTTAAAAGTTTGCTCAAATTTTCTCTAAGTTTATGTTGGGTTACATAGAAAGTGGGTTCCTAGACCTTTATAGATCTTTTCTGTTGTTTTTGCAAGCTGTAAGGTAGGACCCAACTTATAGCTGACCCTCTAATGGACTTTCAGAGACAGTAAATTGTGTGGAAGGAGATTGCTCGTCCTTCTCCCATAGAGAGCTGGTCCACTGTAGTGCAGCTTCTTACCAGTAGGCCATCAGAGTTCCCTTCTAAGTTTCTAAAATTGTTTATAGTATAATTTTTCACCAACTGTTAAAATTTTTATCTCATTTGTTGTATTGAAATTTCATTCATCTTGTTTCTTATTTTATTTGGGTCTTCTCATTCTTTTCCTATGTCAATTTGCCAGTGGCTAGTCAATTTTACTGATTTTCTCAAAGAATCAACTATTAGTCTTGTTGATTCCTTCTATAGTTTTCTTTCATTTTTATTAGAGAAATCTGGTGGCCTAGTGGTAAGAAGCTGTGCTGCAATCCCAAAGGCATGTAGTTCAAATCCACCAGTGCTTGGGACTGTGTCTACCTATATGATTTGCTGCCTGTGAAAACCTGCTGGAGGGTCAGCTACGGCTCAGTTCTGACTTAACTGCACAATATTAACATCAACAATCATTTTTTTCCTTTCTTCTGGAAGTCTTTTACTAATTCCTTTTAGAATTTGAGTTGTAGAGTTTGACTATTGATTTTGACATTTTTTCAAAAATACTATTTTTGCTGTAGATTCTACTTTGAAGACTGCTTTTGTTAATGTTCTAAATATTTTTATTTGATGTGCCTTTATCCTAATTTGACTCCAGGATTTTTTTTTTATTTAGCTGGCAGTTTCTTCATAGTCACAAAGTTTTATTTATTTAGTTTCTGTGCATTTAAATTATTTTCCTTGTTCTTCTTATTGTTAATTTTTAAGACTTGTAGCATAGTGATCACAAAGATGCTCTGTATTATATTGATGCTTTTAATTTATTGAAATTTGATTTTTGGCCTAAAATATTGTCTACTCTGAAGAATAAGCCATAAATGTTGAAGAAAATATGTACTACAGTTATACTGCTATCAGGAGGAAAGGAGAAGCTGTTGATTATATTAAGTCTTCTGTATATATATATATATTTTTTTTTAATGGCTTTGGTAGCCTAGTGGGTAAGGAATTTTGTGGCTAACCCAAAGTCACACTGTTTTAATGCACCACATCAGTGTAGATGGTGAAGAGATTGAGATAGTTAACAGTTTTCATTTACTTGGTTCCACAGTCAACTCTCTTGGTAACAGTAGCCAGAAATTTAGGAGATGAATTACATTGGAAAATCAGCTGTGAGGACCTCTCAAGAGTACTGAAGAGCAACAACGTCAGGCTGGAGACTAAGGTGTGCCTGATCCAGGCCATAGTCTTTGCAATTATGTGCTATGCATCAGAGTTGGACAGTGATTAGGGAGGATAGAAAGGGAATTGAGTTGCTGTGCTGGAGAAGAGAACAAACAGGTTTGTCCTGGAGAAAGTGAAGCCGGAATGGTCCTTGGAGTCAAGGATTCTGAAGCATCGTCTGACATACTTTGGGCATGTTGCAAGGAGGGACTGGTCCTTGGAGAAGGACATCATGTTTAGAAGAGTGGAGGGACACACAAGAGAGGAAGACCCTCAATAAGATAAATCAATTCTATGAGTGGAGTGGTGGGAATGAGTGTGTTTGAGATGGCAAGGTTGGCACAGGATAGAATGGTGTTTAGGGCTCTTGTACATTGGGTTGCTATGAGTCGCAAGCAACTCGATGGCACATAACAACAACAACAACAACAACAACAACAACATATTTTTAAGTCTTCTGTCTATTTTATTCAGATCTTTCCAGCCTTTATCAAAAGTGATATGTTAAAATCTCCTACTATTAATGTGAAGCTTTCAAATTCCCCTACCAATATATTTATTTTATGTATTCTGGAGTTCTGTCATAAATATTTATTATGTTTATGTCTTTGATGGACTAAATCTTTAATCATTCTATAATGTCCTTTTCATCCCTTATAATGAATTTTGGTTTAAAGTCTATTTTATCAGAGATTAAACAATGTTTTCTTGATAAAGTGTTCCCAACTTTTGATATTTTTAACCTACTTATATTTTTGTGTCTAAATTGTGTCTCTTGTAGACAACATTCTGATGGATTAAATGTAAAATTATTGGAAGCTAAGTAAATACTAGAAGTAGCATTTTAAAAATTTCTAAAATAAAAAGTTGGTTAATGCAATCAATAGTATTTTAAATTGTTATTTTTTATTCTGTGACATTTTGGCTCCTTTCATCAAGCATAAGTGTTTCATCCATTAATATATTAAATGGGTATTAATATTAGATTTATTTACATCTACATTCTAAGTTTTACTTCACATCTAAGTCATTATTTATAGACTATTTAAAGTATATAAATATATATAAAATAAAAAACCAACAAAACTCTGTGGAATGGGATGAATTGTAGATGATAACCACAACAAAGTGCATTCATATTTTAATAGGAAAGACATAATCATAATTGAGTATATTAACCTAAACTAATTCCATTAAACTACACTAATGAAAAAAGAATCAAAGTTACCTGTCGTCCCTTAAGACCCTTCTTTCCACGCAGCCCAGGAATGCCCTATAATAGGAAGTGAAAAGCAAATTATTTGTTGAAAGAATGAATGAAATAGATAATGAAAATAGCGAAATATTTTTCTCAACTACTAATTAATGAAATATGGAAAAAGATAAATTGTTACACAAACTGATATTACACTCAGAACCATTTAATATGTTAATATATTAATTTAACTGATGTTGAAAATATGGCTGTTTCTGTGTAGCCCTTTTGCACAGCACAATCATCACTTTTTGAGGAAACCATCTTATCTTCATTTCTAAATGGAATCCTGACTTTCTACTGGGAACAGTTATTTATCTACAAGAAATTGTATGGCTAAAGTTAACCAAATAAGAAAGTCTCATCTGACCCATAGCTGACCTTGCAATGAGTTTTCAGAGAAAGTAAATCACAGGAGAGGAGACTGCCAATATTTCTCTCGCAGAACAGCTGGTGGATTTGAACTGTGTTCCTTTGCTTTGAGAGTGTAATTTTCTTATAACTAGGCCAAACTGGAAGCAGAAGTGGCATTTACTTCTTAAACAGCATGCCTCTGA